CTAGGCCGGATCCTCTGGTTGTACCGCTCAAGCCTTGTGAGCGCCCTCAAGATGAACCGCTCCATAATCTTCCCCGGCACCGAGGTCAGGCTGACAGGCCTGTAGTTCCCCGGATCCTCCTTCCGGCCCTTCTTGTAGATGGGCGTCACATTGGCAAGCCTCCAATGTCCCACATTAAGACCATGTTTAGACTTGAATCCTTGTTCCAATGAACTATATAAAGGCCTTAACAAAAATGCCTGCGCAACACTCTCATATACACACCCATATAGATATGCATGGCTTTCCAATACACTAATGGCTACTGCAACTATGCTCAGATAACACCCAGCTGCACTCAAATCCGTGCCGATCACACCACAACCACAAAATCTCAGTGAGAGACGGAGCTGATGCTGCCACCTCGCCATCCCCTGCACTGCCCTGCATTTCGCCGAGGATGCCGGCGGCGGGGCCGGGATGCTGGAGCCGCAGGACACCCCGTTCCCATTGCCACCTTGCAGCCCAACGCAAAACTATGCCTGGCGACTCCGGGCGCCTGGGCCTGAAAGCATCCTTTCTCCCTTCTTTTTAAGCACAAAAGAAGGCGCTCTCGCCTTCAAAAGGTTTCTGTTTGTGCGTCGTGGCCTGCCCTGAATTGGCTGCATTCATCAGCTCGCCCTCTGTCTCGGGCTGCTCCCTCTCTGGCTGCAGATTCGGCAAAACACCAAGCAAGAGCCAGATATAAATCTCCCCCGCTCCAAGGAAATATTTAGCAGCAAAACGAGTAGAAAAGAAAAGACTTCTCTGTTACTCACCCAATCCTCTCACTCAGGGTGCTCTATCTAACAAGCAGGCAACTGAGCGCTCCTGCCTGGAACGGCTGTGCCAGGGGGACGGGGCGCGGGGCTGCCCCACGCCTGGGAACCTGCTGCTGTGCCCAAATGGCCTCAAGCACTGGCTGGGAAATGCAGAGCTTTTTCCATCAAGTCCACTGCTTGGTAAGCGTGAGAGGCCTGCTTAGGGCAGTGAGGAAGGAAAAAACCCCAGTGTTTCCTGTTAATTCTGCAAAAGGAAAACTCAAGACAAGTTAGCACAATTTTACGTACGTATTAAAAGCCAAGGAACATTAATCCACAGCTTATCGGTGTTCTGCTCTTATTTCCCGCTGTGTGAGCTGTTCTGAAATTTAAGATGTAGGATGCAGATCAACTTTGTTCCTCTTTTTATTGTAACTTCGATGATTGTATAATTCAGTAATTCTCAAGAAAGTCTGGAAAGGCCAAGTCTCCACATGAATTCATTGAGATGACTGTGCTCCGGCTCTCCGACACAGAAACTTAACAGGTTTCTGTTGTAAAATATTTATCACAGATAAGATAGCCATTTCATAAGCAAAAACACAAGAGAGACAGCTAAGCCATTTTACTAGAACTCGGGAAAGTCCTTTTGGGAAGGAAGAGGTGCAGGACAGGGCGTACACCAGCATCTGCCTGAGAGAGACACTGGAACCAGTAACGCTCTGGCTGAGGCTTCAGCCGAGGAGGACGGCTGCCCGCTCCCAGCCTGTAACCCATCAGGCTGGCTGCTTCACCAGCCCAGCTGAATTTGCCACTGGCTGGGAGTCAGAGCAGTGAGGTTTCAGGTGGTCGCTGAAGCTCCTGACAACGGTACCCAGAAGCAGAACCAGAGGCTGCGGGGAACAGGGCGCTCCTTGGGCACGCGCCGTCCCGCTGAGCACCCTGCCTGCCCACGCAGCGAGTACCTGGGCCGGCACGAGGGGCTGGTTTGGACTCGCTCGTTCCAGAAACGTCAGCGTGTTTTGTTAATCCAGCAGAGCAACGTAAAGAAATACGTGACCCACAGGAAGCGGAAGGAGATGCGATGCATGCGTCCTTACGTCACTGCTTGAGTTCTTGCCCAAATCCCACCATTCCTGCGCTCATTTGGTATCTTGCAGAGTAAAGGACTATTACGTATTACCCACACAATTGAAAAAATTACCATTAGTTTAGTCCTGTATAACCAATAATTCAGTTTTTGATATTTGTTCATCTTCTATCTAAAGCAAAAGCTTCAGTGTTTCATTTAATTTGTTTTCAAATTTTTACTTTTTGGTGCAATTATTACCATGAAACCTATATCGGTAATGCTCAAAATTCTTCAAAAATAACTGCCGTTTGAATTTTAGTCATGTACCAAAAGAAGTATTACACAAAAATATTTTCTTTCTTTATCTCTAAAATTCCTGAAAAACTGCATCTTGTGGACTTGGATGCAAACGTCCTGGAGAAACCAAAACTACATGAATAGAGAAGACCTCAAATGGCCACCGTGATCTGTAACAGTCTATATACACGTTATATACATATGACTGTTTGAGAGCCTGTATTCATGAATGTGTACAGTCTACATACTGCACAAAGTTCATTTGTCTGAGGGTTTTTTTTTTAATCTTTTTTTTTTTAAACTACTGTCAGAAACAAGGAGAACAACCTTGTGGTGGCACAGAAAACGTGTGGTTACTGGATTTAGTCTTACCCTCCTAGTGCCACTGCTCATTAACCATGAACTGATTTTGCAAATCTCATTCAACACAATAATTTCTACATTTTTTTCTTATTGCATTTGTACATGTAACAAATTAGTACAAATGTTTACGATAAAATGTAAAGTTCATTGATACAATGCCTTTCATGACGGCCGCCATAACTGGTTACTTAGCCAACTCGTAGTTTTTCAGAGACATTTTTAGCTGAACTTGGAAAAATAGGAAATGTATTGTAGCTTAAAATAAATGTACATAATATACAATATATATATTTATACACATGTGTATGTCTACATACACATATATCGATATAACATTTAAAGTAATGTTTAGTTTTGATCAGTTCTCTGAGTGCGGGGACTACCTGGCAAATAAATCTAGAAACAGAATTTGTCCACAATTAAATAATTACTTCCACAACTTAGAAAAATATACTTTTACTAAATAAGGTTTAAATTAACTGATTTATGGATACGGCATGGAGGATAACGGTTTCCAGACTCTGGCGTGATTAAATCTGAAAGAACCCAAGCTACTACAAACCGGTACCGAACGCTGCCCCGCAGCCAAACACGGAAGAGCACAGAAATACAAGCTGCTGCTGCAGCCGTCATCGGTGGCACCCAAACCCTCTCTGGTTCGGTCACCTCTTATATGGGCTTCATTTCCACCCGATACCAGTCGCCCACCTGACCTCACACTCTGTTATTTAAGGCCCACTTCAACCACAACGACACAGCGCCTGCCGCCTTCTCCAAGTACAGCGCTTGCCAAGTGATGTGAGCAGCTCCCCCCTTGCACGCAACTCTTGCCTTGAGAGCTAACATATGATCAAAGTCCCTTATTAACAACCTGGAGGACCGTCAGTACTTGAGCTTCACCATATGGATTTTGATCTACTGCATAGGTAAATATATTATAGCAAAACATACATATGTGTGTGTGTATATATATAAGTATATATACATATACACACGTGTGTGTGAGTATGTGTACATCTCTATATAAAAAATTTCATGGAGCTATGTGTAGTAATGCGATATACCATGGTATCCTGCATACGTTATCGGATTTTTTATTTTTTTTTTAGTATATAGGCACCAGAAATAAGTATATAGAGCAAATCAACCTTTAAAAATTAAAGTTAAATCAGTGGACAAGAACTTTGGTAAAGCTTGTCAATATTTATTTTTTTTTTAATTCAAATACAGTCAAAGTCTATCAGTTGCCGTCGCCCTCTTCACAAGAGGAAAGTGCATGTTTGGTTATTTTTCTAAAGAAAATTATACGTAAGGTGGGGCTTAACGATTCAAGAAAATTCTGAATTAAATGTTTACATTTTTCAAAAGATTACTATCTTTCTGATGGAATGAAAGCTAAATAGAGTTCTTGTCCCATGTGTATTTTATTTATCGTATGCATATATATATAAAAATATATATATATGTATGTCTCTGTTTATGTACCTGTGTGTGTATATACACATCCACACACTTTTAACAGGAGAGAGGAACCTGTTTTTCTCCACTTTGTACGTGGAGACTTACACGTTCCTCCCTGTTTTGTACCCTGTGCAGTATAAGCTTTAGCGATGAGGCCAAACAAAAAGATATAGTTCACCATAGTATATTAGTTTATGTAGCAAAGTAATTTTCAAGCAAGTAAAATAAAGCTCTGTATTCCAAACTTCTTTTCCTTAACATTTCTCATAAAGAAAAGGAAGGAAAAGGAAAGAGGGGAGGGAGTAGGATTATGGCAGTAGCATTGAGCCAGTGGCACACGTGCATGTGCGTGTGCGAGTGTGCAAGCGCATGCACACGCGCGCACACACACACACGCACAGAGAGCAGGGCTTTGGTTGACAAATGCAGATTGTCCAGAGAAGGTGGATGCATAAGTAAGGAAGACTCTACAGTGATGCAATTGTATCTTTTATGTTTGCATGGAGTGAGAAAACAAATTCAATTGGGAAAAAAAAAAAAGCAAAGACCTCTCTTTAGGTCCCTCATCAGTGAGAGCATACTCAGTATGCTAGAGAATTTATCTGAAACCTTTTAAATCAAGGCCTCTTTATTACAAAAATAAAAATGAACAAACAAAAAAGTATGAGAGACGACAAGATGCTGAAGTGTCACTCCAATCGTCCCTGCAGAGAACAATTGCATCCCATTTATTATTCATTCTCTTCTCTCATTTCTACGATGTCTGTCATTTCCTCTGTGTGAGGCATGTCGGTCATTGCAGAGTCTTCACCTTCTGTAGCTGCTTCATTCTCATTCCGCTTCTTTTTCTAGATTGAAACAAGTGTTTGGAAACCTATCAGTAAGTTGTGCATGAACAGCGTCCTACAAACTTTGGGCACTGCGAGAAGCGAGGTGCGAATAATTTTTTTTGGGGGGGTATGTTATTAAGAGCTAGAATATTTGAGTCATATTCATGGCTTGTCACTAATAAGTTGATTTAACTTAGAAGGTTTCCATAACCTTCCTGGGGCTCAGCTTTCTCCTTTCTAACATAAATGCAATAATAGAGGCATTTCTTATGCTAAGCAACATCCAAAACAGGCTTCAGCACGACTGGAGGGAAGAGAGCATCTGGAATCTTTTACATCACGGATTTTTTATTAAAAAAAAAAAAAAGAAAAGCAAACAAAATATGAGAGAAGATAAGCTGCTCTAGGGAGGGAGACAGAGGTGGCAACCTAATTTCTCAAACGTCAAACTTCAGGAATTTTACAAGGTGTGAGCATCCTGGCTTTTCTTGATATTGCTGATCCACTGTGAGCCCCCACCCCATCAAGGCCAAGTAATATTAGAGTATTTTTGGCTAGCAGTAGCAGGAGGGCATTCAAGAGTCCTGTGATTCATCCAGGATGTCCTGGATTAGTAAAGCTAAGAAGCATTCAGCCCCGCTACAAAACAAGTTGAAGCATCTGTTCCTCATTATCCATTTCTCAGCAGGCTGACTAGTTTTACAGAAAACACTTGTACAGCTGACAAAAAGTCCCCCACAGGTATTGTTGATTCAGCTGAGTTGGGCATATCAGAGTTTCAAAATTTGAGAGGTGTCTACACAACACTTGATTTGCAGATCTCAGATGCCGCCCACTTATTACCACTGTAGGTGAAAACAAGTTGGTGTATACAGCTACCGGTTGGCTCTGCCACTGTCACGCTGGCTGTTGAGACAATGCTGTCAGCTACACACTAATTCTGGTAAGGGAATAAATTAGGTTGGCACAGTTATTATTACTACTACCTGCACTCATCACTGCAAAAAATTAAGTACCATGTCCCTGGCCAGAAACGCACTATGAGCTATTTCTCTAACAAACAAGCGATGAGGAGGTTAGTCCCAACAGATGTATGTTGTGAAGCCATAGGCCAAGAACAGCCATTTCCGTGTCTACAGTTTTTACTCTTTGGTGCTCAAGAAAAACATGACAGCCTAATCATGATGGAGATCAAGGTCTTCTATTTCCTTATGAACCTTGTACACTTTGGTCTACTGCCATGGCCTGCACTGTTAATACATATCAAAACTGGTTTTAGTTTGTTCCAATATAAGGCTTTTAGATGTTCCATCTTCCGTATTTTTTTGCTAAAAATAGAAGTGATGGGCATCTTCGCTTGGCCTTTAGTAAGAAACCTAATTAAAAAAAAAAGGCAAATGCATAGATTTTATTTTCTGCTCCCATCCACAGAGTCCTTCTGCACCACGGAATGATGTACACACCACGCCATTTCTGCTTGGTGTTGGGCCTGGTGCCTACACAGTGCCTTGAACACATAACTGGAAGGGTACAATATGCAGGTACTGCGATGTACCCGGTCACCTAGCCAATATTTATCCTGTGTTTGACTTCATTTAGTGGAATATTCTTTGAAATCCATGTACCACTACTACTCCGTACATGCAGGACTGTAGTGTGTGAAATATGTAAAAGTATGCCTATGAGAAATCCTCGCCTGTTTAAGTATTTGTAAGCTCTTATCCTCTACTGCTGCAGGAGTATATCTTGTTTTAAGCCACTTCTTTAGATGGCAAAAAGAATAAGCAACGGTACTTTTTGTCCATTTTCAGCAGAGCTGGTTTTGTAAAGAAATAAAAGTATACATATATATACACACATACACATACACATATACATATAATAAGCTTGGATGAGTAGTTCCTATGTCTATATAAAGAAGCTATGTTGTACTGTAGTAAGAGATCTACGGTGCAAAACAGGTGGTGGTAAGGATATGATATCCATGATACACGTTTTGAGGAGCAAGAGGTTTACTTCAGACCAGCATGTCCCATGGCCTGGTCCCATGGCCTGAACGCCCACTAGCAGTTGGAGGGCACCTTTTGGTTTTATTTCAACCCAAAGAATTCCCAAGTTTGCACACTCCTGCGACCACATGGGGAAGCAAACCAAATTCAGTAAGTGGGGATGCTGGGGAGTTACATTTCAAAAGTGTACTCTTAATCTGAACTAAAATCCCCTATATTCATCAACTGCTTTCACCAGATCCCGCAGAGCCTAATTTTTACCTGTTTCCGATAGACGTAACAGGCTGCTATCGCAACCATGGTGGATTCTCCTACAAAACCAGCTAGAAGGGATCCTACTCCAAGAGTGGCTCCATGAACTCTGTGGGCGGCATAAGAAGAAAGTCGTCATGGTTGTGTGAGAATTCATGATTCATAATTATATTTCCACTGGCATATAGAATCAATCTGTTGTTAGAAATATTTCCTTCAAAGACATAATACACTGGCAAAAAGAATAGCTGGTATTTTAAAGGAGTTTTTTGGTTTTTTGTGGCTTCACTGTTTAAAAGAAACACATGCTGAATCAAATATAGGACTAAGAATTTAAAGTCTTGTACAGAGTGCTGTAGAACAGATTATTTAACTTATAAACAAGATATTCTTCCATTAGCTTTCTTAACAGTGCATTTAATAGAATGGAAATAAATTCTCCGTAGGATACATGTTTGCCTCTCTGCCATCTGCCTATTTTTTCAAAAGGGACATCACTGTCATGCCTGCCTAGAGCAGTCACACTTGTGAATTTGTAAATGTTTCTTTTCCAGATATTGATACTATTTAGGCTTTATATTATGGTTAGTATTTGGGGAAAATGTTCTGAGCTACCCTAATTCAGCTATTAAGTGACAGGAAACAGGAATGAAGAGGAAAGCAAACCCATCAGCTCTGTGGAGAGGAGAATGATTTACCCCAAGTAAGGCAGCACAATGAGACTGGTGATGAGGACGATAATCCGCAGCACTGAGCTAGGTGCCAATACAAATGTCTTCTTTAGAGTCATCAGCCAACCAGTCAAATGCGCTCTGACCGTCACTGTTCATAAACAGGGGAAGGGGAGGAGATGGGAAGACAGGGAGGCGAGAGTAGTAAAAAAAAATCAGTCATCTCATATGAAGCTTTTTCATGCAGAGAGCACTGTTCAGAAATAACCATGGTGAAACTTGTTTCTGGTAACACTGGGAAGCCCTACTAGAAATGAAGTAGATCTTGTGTCCAAATTGCTTTAATATACTGATTTTTGAAAACACAAAGCGCCAGTTGTAGACAGCAAGCCTTACTGAGAGCTGTTCTCTTACAACCAATTTATTAGATGGTCCATCCTGTTTTCTTCACTAAAGGAACATCCCTTCCCTAAACAGAAATCACAGCAAGGAAAATTTTCCCTCTAGCTCCTGTGTGGTACACGGTATAACAGCTAGTCACAAAAAATGGTATCTCCATGTACCTATTCTTGTATTTGGAGTTTACCTTTATTACAAAACTGTCTTGTCGTATAAGCAGAAAACACTACATGATGTAGCATATGATTACAGAAGTTAGAAATTTTTTGAGGGGAAACATTTTGATTACTGCTGTCAAGGTTGCCTCTCTCTTGAATACGGGCATTAACTTTTATTCTTTATTGATATAGAATATATTCTTGATATTGATATATCAAGTATCTTAATATTGATATATCAAGATAAATTTTTTGAGGGGAAACATTTTGATTACTGCTGTCAAGGTTGCCTCTCTCTTGAATACGGGCATTAACTTTTATTCTATATTGTTTATGCTGTGATGATATCTGAAAGTGCCACTGACACTGGCAGCAGCAGGAGAGACTAATGGAGGTGATGTTATGGTGGAGCTGGTCCTAGATGCTATTCCAAACAGTTAATTTCAGTCTTGGCATGCATGTATTGCTACTGCCATTCATGTGTGTGCTCTTGGTCAGCTACAATAGACAGAATTCTGACTTTTGACAGTCAGAAATCTGCCTAATGACAGACTGCTCTTACTGCAACATTTGTATCTTGACTACCGATATAGTCTTGGTCTACACCAACTTCAGTAAAAACCGTGTTACTTTTGCTAGGCGTGCATTTAGCCACTCTTCCATGTACAGCCACGCCAGACTCTATGACCACATCTCAAAGCTGGTTTGGTTTTGAGGTTACAGAGTTTTTATTTTCTTGGTTTTTACCTGGAACTGGAAAGAAGGAGAAGATGCGCAAAGGAACAACACACAGCTCTGCAAAAGCGAAGTCTACTCCAATTATGTCAACTAAAATCTTCTCTGACACGTTTGGCGTCCAAAACATCACAAAACAGAGCTAGGAAGAATAAAATTAAGAAATGTTTATATTTCAGAAGGGAAGCACAACAGAAGATAGGTCCTCCTGGTCTAAAACATTTGTTTACTCTACTGGTGGGTATTTTTGGTATTAAATGCAGGAAGAAGATGGATACAAAGTAATAAAAATAAGTTTGCTTTTCTACAACGTTCAGGGATCTGTAGCATGCAATGACTAAGGTTTTAATCATCACTAAGGCAGGCATATTTTATGATTAACTTTAATCACTTCATTTAACCTTTCTCCTATGTTTCTGCCTCTTTGCACATACACTGATGAAAGAAAATAACAAAACTTATATGTTAAGCAATAGTCCTGACTCCAGAGTTTATGAAGCAGTCATTAAAAAAACCCGACACATGCATGCAAACCTAACAGAATATTTGTTTGCTGGGCTTGGATTCTAACAATTCAAATGTTGCGGTTCAGTCTGACTGTAATCAAGAAGAAATTATAGGAAAGGTTTTAAGAGGCTCTTCAGAGCCACCCCAACCACCAACAGTTTTCGTCTTCAACTTAAGTTGAGGATGCTGAATGCTCCAAAAGTCGCGACCAATTGAGAACAACAGTGTTCTCAATAAAGAGTAGAAAACAGATTCTCACTTCTCTCCAATCAATCAATCAAAAATATTGGAAAAGAAACAATCACAAAAAAAGTTCATAAACACAGAATTAATTTCCTTTACTTTGAGAAACATATTCGAAACACTGTTTTGCAACAATTTAAAGACGTTTTAAAATATTTAAATGCAGTAAGGCTCTAGTGTACCCACAGTATATTTATACTGAGCTTGCATGCAAATACACAGAGTTCACAAGTAAGAGAAGCATGTTAACTTCAGAAACAATTCCTATTCTTCATGTTCCTCACGTACCAAGACTGACGCATATAGAAGGAATTTTTATGGTGCCTGCAGATGGTTGTACTTGAATGGTCTAATTGTTACAAAAACAGTAAGAAACCTGATTTTTACAGTACTTGCTCTGGTTAAGACACTCGTATTCCTACAGATTATCAGATGGTTTAATAACTAAAGATTTGAAGTACTCCAAGACCTAGAGATCTGACCTAAATCTAAGATGAGGGGTTTAAACACGCTGCTGGTACTAGTACTGTTGGTATGTAATATGACTGATACCAAGGCAAAGGTGTTCAGCATAGTCCTGCAGACATGGTGCCCTCAGGCCACAAATCCACCCAGTCTTGTTATTTTAAAGAGTGTGCTGTTTAGTCCATACATGAAAGGAAAACTTCCATAAAAACCCCGTAATAAATGGTACAGCGGTAGTACATGCTGTTTAATTTTTTGGTCAGTCCTGAGGCAGGGCTTCAGTCCGGGCTGAGGGGGCTCTTAGCAGCTGGCAGGTCCAACTTCTGTTCAAAGCATTCACTGAAGAACGGTGCCGACAGCCCTTACAGGACTTTTCCTGTAAGAAGGGGTACCAGACATCCTTTCAAGTGTAACTGCTTTGTCATTTAACTTGGTTTTGTGATTTTAAAAGTGATTTCTTCCTGTTATTCTCACAGTGAAGCAGATGTTAAGGAAGGGAGCTGACTGAACGGGGCAAAACTTGGGACCTTAAATGTTCTGGCACTCCTCTGTCAGGTTACAAACCAGTGCACCAGGTAAATTCTGCACACTGGCTGTACAATCTGATGGCTCTGTAAGACTCCATAACTACTCTCTTGTAATTTAGCCTACAAGCTAGCATCATAGTATCTACCTAGCTCTTCTCTTAGTATCCAGTTGTCACATCCCTACATGTTCAGATGGCTTTTAAAGCTAGTCTTTGAAGTCCTATCACCTCCAAGACAGCTGAGATTTCACTCTCATTCTTTGGTTGTGTGCCAGAGATTGTCCTTTCTGTTTAGCCTACGAGTATCCAGACCGCAGATGTTTCCCAAGGTCCGTGACCAAGTGGCCTGTGGGAGGTCTCGTGTTCTGACAGCCTGTGTGGTGAACCTAACATTTCACCTTCCTGCAAAAAGGCTCATCTTCAGTTTTCTTCTCCACTTCTTAGGGCAGGAACCACTATTTATTTTTCACAATTGAACATTTTACTTGACTAATTTGATGCTGTCTTGCGGTGTATCTCCACCACCTATACAGAGTGGAGGAAGGTAAGAGCAGAAGACAAATGAACTGAGCATGGAGTTTCTTCTGCTTTAGCCAGCACCTCTCTCTGCCTGCCAAACTACTTGTACGGGGTACAGCTGAAGCAGAGGGCACAATCTAGAGCAGAGAAGGTTGTGTGGTTGAGAATCCAGTTATTAAAAAGCAACTGTACAGTGACAAGAGTAAATTCTTTCATTCTTGCAGACACCATTAGGCAGACTGCAGTGATTTGTACTCTTAACGCAAATGACCTTTAAAGCAACCATACAGGGAACATTTTGTCAAATCTTTCTTCAAAGTCCAATAAACAAAATAAGATGCAAAGATGTCCACTCTTCAATTACAATTTGCTGTTTTCATGAAAGCAAAGACTTTTACGCTGCTTGTACTGCACAATGCCATTAGCATCCTACTGAGCAGTATAGTTACTGCTGCTGCAGGATTCCATACATTTATGCTAACAGCGGAGTCTGCCCACTGCTAGCAAAAGGCAAATAGAGCAGTCTTTCTTTCTTCATCAGCCGTTTGAAAGCATATTCTAACATGGTTACACAGGCAAGCAAGTAAGTGACCAAAAGCATTGTTCTCAATCCTGTTCTCTTTGAAGTTAAAGCTTGTTTCTGGCCTTAATAAGAACAGACTCAATCTCCATCCAGCTCTCGAGGGGAAGAAGGTCAGTTTGCCAATCAGAGGTAATGACTTACACCCAGGTGGTATGCAGTCATTCCTCCTCAGCTGTTGCAAACTGCAGTCTTCCCCACTCCCCTGATCAGCAGAGAGTCAGTGCTGATAAATGGCTTCAAAGAGCACTTCTTATATAGTAGCTGGTGGGTAATGACAGCAGTGACTGCTAAGTTCAAGAATAAGCAGTTTGAGGAGGGGAGGCATGGCAGCAGAAGGACCTTCTTTTTCTGCCTCAGCGTGCTTCCATCTTTTGGTTGCAATATTGATAACTAGTTTCATTTTGCAAAGAGATTCTTCTCTGTCATCTTATGAGCAGATGATATTCTTGTTGCCTGCAGGGGACAAAGCCTCAGGACAAGAAATTAATGCTTTGCATCATGCAAGCCCTCTGCAATTTAACTTCTAGAGCACTTGCAACTTGGGAAGTTTCCATATTATTTCAAAGACAAATTCAAAATGTAGTGGGGAAAAAAACAGGCTCTACTTCAGGAAAACAGTAACACTTGACATGCAAAGGAGGGAAGGTATTTCAGCTACTGATTTTATTACAGATGAGGTATACTGAAAATAGGATGAAGTCTTAGCTTTTTGCGATACTAAGTGGTCTGTATGATGTTTGTGATTACCTTGGTAAAGGGTGAAGACTGATCAGAAAGGAGACCGGAGAAGATGATAACAGATGAAATGATGCAAGTAGTCCAGTGAAACAGAGAGCATGGCACACACAATTAGAGATGGGCTCTGCTGGAGTAAGCAGTGGTAACTTCTTGGGGCTCAGATCAGGAAGGAATTTAGGAAATAGATTTACCTATAGTATGCCTTAGTATGTCTCTTATCTTTCTTTTAGTTAAACACTGTTTCCCCCTCCCCCTTACGTCCTTCTGCATGTGTCTGCAAGGTTAAAAATAGAATAAATAGGCTTGGGTAGCGTTACAGTTATACCTTCATATAATCTAATCAAGAGGTGAAGATGAACGTAGCGTAGGCTAGCAACACATAAGCATAATGGCATTGCAGCTTCAGGTTATATGGCCATTGCAGCCAACCGCAATTATACAGTAATGAATACTGTACTCAGCAACCCTGCTGAGGCTGAAGCATTTTAATGCTTTGGCCGTAAGGATTTTGCTTGTGGAATTCTAGCAACAGAATTGACTTGATTTTCTGTTATCTTAGAGGATAGTTTTGTTAACGCCTTTGATCATTTAAACAGAACTTCAACTGAGCAGTGATGAGCATTTTAAAAACACAGGAAAAAATGAGGATATAAACAGGAGAGTGGAACACTACAGAGAATATGCAGGCCCGAGTAAAGACAATAGTATTTATTATGGTGGTGTTATCTCTGTATAAACAACAGTAGCCTAAGTATTTCTGAAAGTGTTTTAATCATTTGAACTGATCTGAAGGGTTGTGCTATAGGGTAACGTCTTTAACTGATCTACAGCAGTAAAATTTGAAAGACTATTAAGTATATCAGTAATTTACAGCAGCATAAGAAAATCAGTATGGCTGTATTAGATCAGATCAAAGCTCCAGCTAGATTAGTACCCTGCTAAAGGTCACTGGGGGTTGCATAAGGGAAGGGCACAAAGAACGGGCAAGTGCAGAGTAAGAGATGCCCTTCCCCGGCTGCACGGTCTGAGCTGCCGGCAGTTAGGGCTTCAGGTGTTCAATAACTGTGGTGCACTTTCATCCCATGCAGCATTATGCTGTGCATACAAAATGTCTAATATTAGTGATTTTTTTTTCTTCCAATCCAGTTGTGCATTAAAAAAAGTCAAATAAACCTCTCACTTGTAGCTTAGACACTCTCTGTAAGTAGGTGTGCTTACTTTCATGTGGAACCTTGCTATTCTCAGCTAGGAAATTCAGTGTCTAGGCATATTAAAAGGTTACACATCAAAAACGTCTGTTGTCAACAAGCCTGAGAGAATGCACCAAATCTTTGTTTCAGCAGGGAAAGTATCAAACTGGTAGTGCTCAGTCCAACTTCTCTTTAATCTCTTTCTTAAGCACACTTCATGCATTTGACTTTCACAAATGATTGTGACAAAAGACTGTTCATGAGATTTTGTTTCAGATGCTGCATGTGTGAGTTTGAATGCTAGTAGTTCTTGAAAACTAACAGTCTTTTCATAGGCTCTGCATCTCCCGGAAGCTATTGCCATTTATTCT